TCATCCTCAAAATTGATTTCCACAGAACACAGTTGACTCACAATCATATTAAAATCATTTATATGATTAGCCACTGATCCACTTTCAGGCATCTGTAAATTGAACAATCTACGCATCAAATATACCTTGTTCATCGCAGATGGTTTTTCGTACATATTTGATAGGGCCTTCATTAGACCCGCAGTAGTGTTCTCTTTCAATATGTTGAACGCCACGTTCTTCGTCAAAGTCAACCGGATCATCCCTAACGCCTGACGATCCTTGAGCTTCCACTGCTCCTCTGTCATGGAATCCGGCTTCACCCCAGTCAAGGGTTCGTGAAGATCATTCTGGTACAGATAGTCTTCAATCTGCATCTTCCAGAAACCGAAATCAGATCCATCAAACTTCTCGATTCCAACCTTCGAACTCTCCATCTTCAGTGATCGTGTTGATTCTCCTGAGCTCTGATATCAGTTGTTAGGATCGAATCAAGAACACTCACAGAAATCCGATGAAGAAAGGAGAAGAAAAAACGAGAGAGTAAAAGTAGAGAGAAAGTGAAACACATGAAATAACGTGGTAACACCCCGTGAGTAAACTTCCACGGCGGCTAGATGTGTTTATTGATGATTTCATGCAGATACACTTACAGAGAATTTGTCTCTTGCCTCTCTACAAAAAATTAGCTACAAAGGAGAATATATATAGGCATTAAAACCTCTACTTACATAACCATTAAGCAAACTTAGCCATTAAGTAAACTTAACCATTAAGAAAGCTTAGCCACTAAGTAAACTTAGCCATTAAGTAAACTTAACCATTAAGCAAACTTAATCATTAAGCATCAGGCTCCATAACCTAACAATTTAAACATGGGGATTATTCACTTGTGAATTGAAAACAATCTGGATACTTGCAAATAAGCATAACAATTGGACGAGAAAACTCATCCAAAAACAAAGTCTGTAAATTCAAAAAAAGCAAGAAACAATTCTCTAACCTGGAACCAAAGAACACGTCTGTGATTCATTCCATCTCCGAGATTATTATTATTATTATTATTATTAATTAGGAGTATATTATGGAATTTACAATGCAGAAATCATCCAAACGGCCAAAAATATATTAAAGTAATGTAAATCAATTACCTGATTTTTTTTGGGGAAGCTGCAAATCAAATAAAATCTGTAGCAATGCATCGTGAATCCCTCAAATTCCACAATTAAATTGCAACGCCAATTCTAGCATTTACTCCAGCAGGTGAAGCCGAGGAATAAAGCATTGAATATGCTGTCATTTATGCCCAAAAACCTTTTTTTACTTGAAAACAACATTTCTCCTCCTTAATTCATCTTCTTCTGATGGGACTAAACCCTTGTTATCATCATCTCAAGGAACGAAAGTAGATTTTAAAATTAAAAACACCCTAAAGCAACCAACCTGGAAGAGAGACAAAGATTGTTTCATCTCAAATCTCCAATTTCAGATATCAAATTATATCTAAGCAAATGAGAATATATATTCAAAAGAAGAGTTTGAAAATTGATATTCAGAGAAATATAATTGTCAAAAAAAGTCACCTGAGAATGAGTGAAAAAAAAGAGATTGAGTGTCAGTCTTATAAATACTCTGGTGTTGCTCTAATACCAACGTTGCCGTGACAATGTTCCCAAGTGT